CATATCTCTTCATTTGAGTCCCACTTAATTGTTATAATTACATTTGCTTTAGTTTTTTTGGTGTGTCATTCTTTCCATTTCCATTGCTGAAGTCATTGTGTATATTGTTTTCTTGGTTCTGCTTACTTCACTCTGCATAAGTTCATATAGATGCTACTCTGTATTCATCACACCTGTCATTTCTTATAACACAGTAGTGTTCCATTACATTCTTGTACCACAATTTGTTTAGCCATTCCCTAATCTGCTTTGAGCATCTACTTTGTTTCTATTTCTTACGTATCACAAAAAGTGCTACTATTAATGTTTTGGAGTCTTATGGGGCCTTTTTTTCTTATTGATGGCTTCCTTCAAGTACAAGATGAGTAATGGAGCCTCTGGTTCAAAGGATAGTCACTGTATCTTCATAAGTCCAAACTGTTTTCCATAATGGTTGTAACATTTCACAGCTTCACCAGCAATGGCTTAGTGTGCCTTGTTTTTATAATCCCTCTAACATGGACTGTTGACATTTTTTGGTCATTTTTCCATTTTGCAGAGTTTGGGTAAAACTTCAAGGTTGCTTTAATTTTCATTTTTCTTATTATTAGTGATTTGGAGCTATTTTCATATGGTTGTGAATACTTTTCATTTCTTTTGAGAACTGTTTGTTTTTATCCTTTGATCATTTATCTGTTAGGGAATGACTATTACACACATACGCACACGTTCTTAGATACCGAGAAAAAAAAATTTTTTTTCCTCATTTAACTACTTCCATTCTTATCCTAGATGCATTAATGTTGTCTGTGTAGCTTTTTAGCTTTAAGTAATCAGTCAGTTATGGGTAGAAGATATAGATATGGGTAGAAGCAAGTGATAGAGTTAGTTAAAAAAATTACTTCATTTTAAGCATACAAATAAGAAGTATGTCACTATTAGAAGAAGTAGACCATAAGAAGTTTGGAATGTTTTGGTCCTAGATGAGAAGAAGATTGATTTCTTTCATAAAATAGGAATAGAGGAGGGCATATAACTGGAGAAGGGGTCTACAGGTGAAGTAACTCTGATATTCTCTGATATTACTTCACATAGGCTGATTAACAGAGATTGGCTCAAATAATTCCCCTGGCCTGAATTCTTGTTTGTTTCAATGGGTTTAAATATGTTTGTTCTTGTGGTATATAAATTATGGCATGTGTTTACTCTCCTGTTTGCATTTGCCTAGGAGATATTAATATAATACATCTCACTATTCAAAATCTGGATGAGATGCATATCAGTCAATCAAGAAGTGTGAAATACCTAGTGTGTGTCAAGTACTAGATGCTGGCTATATAAGTATAAAGAATGAAAAATCCCTAGTTATGAGGAGTTTACATTCTAATGAACAATAAAATGCACACACATAGAGCTGTATACAGGATAAAAATAAAGTTAATAAATGAAATATGTGCGAAATAGTCTTCTCACATCTCAATTATCATTGAAAAGAAAAACTTCCCCATCTTTTTGAAAGAGTTGAAACTTCTTCACATATTTCTACCCATGATGGTATTAATCATACAAACTACTTTATATTAACTTCTTAAAACTATCATGTTAATTTCTATGCATTTTATTTGTATTCATTCTCTTTATATGTATTCTCTCTCTCCATCTTAAAACGCAACTACCTTATGAGCAGTGATTGTTTATTTTATTGTATTTGTATCCCCAGGATCTAACAAAGAACCCAGCATATGGTAGGCACTTAATAATTGCTTGTTGATTAATTTATATTCATTTGAAGAATCAGCTTTCATTTATCTACTAGAGTAATAGTCTTCTCTTTAATTTATTAGAGGCATTACTTTAAACTCTTACCAATGGCTTTAGGATTATTTTAAATTATTTTGTTGGCTGTGTCTCTTCCTTTGTTGACCCATTTTATCAACAAACATTTAGTAACAGCTTATTATATACTAAATGCTAGAGATACAAAGGAAAAAGCAAAAACAGCCCCTGCCTTCAAAGATTGTGCATTCTAAGGAGGGAGATAACATGAATAAAAATATGTTTATACAATATATACAGAGTAGATGAAAAGTGTAACCTTAGAGCAAAACTAAGGCCTGAAGGGAGGCAGATGGTGGGAGGGTCTTGCCACTGGTAAATTTCTCCTGAATAAATAAGTTGACATTTGAGTTGATTCTTGAAAGAAACCAGAGATGCTGAGATGAAGAAGTGGAAAGAGAAAGTATTCCAGTCATAGGGGAAAGCCAGTACAAAGGCATAGAGACTGGAAATGAAGGAGTACTGTGTTACAGAAATAATAAATAAAACATTATGGCTGAACTATGGAGTGCATGAAGGGTAAATTATATACAAGATGACTGGCAAGATAGGGTGGACAAAGAGGATTAAATGCCAAACAGGGGTTTGTATTTGATCCTAGAAGACATAAGGAGTCCCTGAAGTTTAGCAAATGGATCACATTTTCAGACCTGAATTTGAGTATAATCATTTTGTCAACCATGTGAAGGATATAATGGAGTGGGGATAGCAAGACTTAAAGCAGAAAAATCAACTAAGAGGTTATTGAGGCAGTAGTCCAGATGAGAGTTGATGAGGACATGAAGTAATGACATTATTTGCTGTTTGCCCTTTGTTCAAGTACCAGTGACATCAGAAGAGAATGTCTTGACTTGTGGGTGAATTGGATTTAAGTGAGGCAGAGCTGCTCAAAGTCATCAGCCTTACTCTCTCCTCCAGTGCCATCAGAGTCCAGTGGTGAGACTAGAGTCAAGATGACTGGTGATGGCCCCAAAGGCAGTGGGTGAACTTGGCCTTCTTATATTAAGGTCTTTCCCAGGTCTCAGTACTAAGGGCTAAGTAAGAATTGTGACAAAATATGACCTAGTTAGCCATCATAGAAGTATCAGTCTGAGAGGGGAAGACCCTCAGTGTTTCTGGCCAGAACAGAAAACAATTGCCATTTGTGCTAACTCTAAGCTGTCAAGACCCTAACAATGGGCAGTGGAGACTTAGGCTAGAGCCATTCAGTGAAAACCAGAGTGATTTGGGTTTAATGGCAAAGAAAAGGGAAGGATTTCATGGAAAAAATATTCTCTTTTGGATTTGTTAAATTTAAGATGCCAGTGGAACATTCATTTCAGAATGTCTGATAGGTAGTTGATGATGTGGGATTGAAAAATGAGAGAGAGACTAGGGTTGTATATAATAGGTCTATTATTATATATAGTAGATCTAGGTGTCATCTTCACAAAGATGATATTTGAATCCGTGGGAGCTGATGAGATCACCAAGTATAATTGGATATAAAGAAAAAGGCTTAAGATAAGGGTTTTGGGGATTTTCACGGTTAGTGGGTATGACATAGATGAAGATCCAGTAGAGTAGACAAGTAGAAGAATCTAGAGAGGAAGATGTTTTCAGTGAAAGGCAGTGTATTAATTATGGAATTCCAAAAAGCATGGTTAAAGAAGAGAACAGATTAGGTCACAATTTTAAAGTTTAAGAATTCCTAGAACAGTGAGCACACCTACATTTAAGTATAAACACAAGGCATTCCAGAGCCAAATAAAATTATTTTTTGATGCTACTAAGTCTTTACCATTAACTGTTGACTAAATATGCAACACTTCTGTCAGCATAGCACATTTAAATTTCAGAAATTAGAAATGTAGAAATTTCTTAATTTTTAACAGTATTGCTGTCTATTAGTACTGCTCGACTTCAGACAGTTATTCATTTTTATATCGTGTAATTATTTCCTTTCTGACATTTTTTTCCTTTGATCAAGCCTGCTTGAGTAGTCCTAACCTTAAGCTAATGGAAGAAATTCTGTTGTTCTAAAAGAATGGGCATTCAGCAAAAAAAAAAAAAAAAATCTGTTGTGGTTTCATAGATACATTCTTTTATGATTCCATTTTGTGAACACTCATGGAATGGTAAGGCCATTAATAATTTACTTCAACTGGACTCTGTAAAATTAAGCTGTTAATCTTTTATGTCTTATAAGTAGCAGGTATCTTATTCTCTAGTTTCTGGACTATGTTCACTGTGAAACTTTACTCTTAAAACAAAACAGAAAGGTGGGTAGAGCTATTAGGAGTTTTAGTTTTCTGTCAGGTTTCAGATCTTGTGCCATTGTAGTTAGAAAGTAGAAAGGATTTTTCTTTCCAGATATAATTTGGAGGCAAGAACAGTATGAATATGTTAAGAAGACATTCACACTCTCATCTCTTAGTATCAAGATTTTTTTAAAATTAATCATGTTTTATTTCTGAGAGCTGGATAAAATTAAGCTAGACATCCGGTTGAAAGTAAAGAAGAAGCTCATTTTCAGCTCTGTAGAATGTAAAGTACAATGTTGGAATTACTGTGGGTACTTGGCAGGAATAACAAAGGGCTTGTTTTGGTGAAATTGGGAAGATGGATTAAATAGCATTGCATCTCACTCCAGGATAATATCTAGACTCTTTAGTTTGTTAGCAGTGACCAAATCAGTTAACCAGAGCAAGGTCATAGCCATCTCTTATGCAGTTTTTCTGTCTAAAGGCATTTGTCATCATTAAGATTTGACTTGTCTTTGGGGCTGTGAGAGGGGAGCAACAGGAGAGAAGGCCAAAAATAAGCATTGAGTTGGTGATCTCTAGGTTTTTGTGCAGGGTTATTTTCTTCAGAAGCAAAAGCTGTATGAGTTTCAGAGCAAGACAGTGGAAAACATAAGGAGAAAAAAAGACTATACTAAGATCTCCCAAACAGCCAAAGTATCAGAAGACCTGGGTTTAAAGCCTATCTCTGATGCTTACTGTTTGTATGATCTTGGACAAGTTAATCAACCTGGATATTTGCGAAATGAGGTTTGACTCGATGGTCTAAACTTCAAGTGGTGGGTGCTGAATCTGTTGTTTGGATTCCATTATGAGATGTTCTCTCTGTTTCCCTTCTTCCTATCTTGATTCACTCCCCTTTCCCCCCAACTTGTGTTAATGAAAATGCCCTATATTTTATAGGATTCCTGGCAGGCTCAATGACAGGAGGACTCCTTTGGGAGAACTGAATTGGATCTTCACTGCAATCACAGATACCATTGCTTGGAATGTGCTGCCCAGGGGTAAGGATGTCAGGGAATAATCTGAATCTCTCTAGTAAATAAACAATGCGCAAAGTTAAATTTGAAAATAGTTTCATGGGAAGAGTGGAAGGACAACTAGGTTAAAAGGACACAAGACATTTAGAGTCCATATTTGGTCCCAAGGGAAGTCAAGTAGGAAGCATATGCTGTTACCTAATGAAGTGTCAGACACAGTTGGAAGGTAGGAAGTATACATGTCTAGGATTTCTCCAGTATTTGCTTGCCAAAATCAGAACGCATTTTCCTCTTAACTCACTGGCTCTCTTCTGCTGTGTTGCAGCCAGAATTGCTGCTTCAAGTCATATTTGTCCTTTCTTGGGCAGTAGAAAATGTACATGTTAGTTAGTTTCAACTTCCTTGTTCAGTTCTGGGATGAAGGGGTGTGTGTGTGTGTGTGTGTGTGTGTGTGTGTGTGATTTTGCATGCTGTTTTTGACTAAAAAGGTACAATACTGTCTTCTTTCATTTGTCTCAGATCTCTTCCAAAAGCTTTTCAGACAGGACCTCTTGGTGGCAAGTCTGTTTCGTAACTTTCTGTTGGCAGAAAGGATCATGAGATCATATAACTGTACCCCAGTCAGCAGTCCACGCCTACCTCCTACCTATATGCATGCAATGTGGTAAGTCTTCAACAACTGAACATCTATTGCTTTTTGAATTGCTGTAATTGATCTTCCTTGAATTTCTGAAATTGCATTTCTTTGAGTTAAAAATATAAGAAGATTTGATTGACACTATTAGAGACCCAAGAAAATGTTCACAAAGATGACTAGGAACTACCCATACCTGGGATAATTTCTATATTTGCCTGCTTAGAGGCTGAAGAAGCTGAGGGCTTGTTCCTGAGGATTTTTCCATACTCCAGAAAAGAGTGAGGCCTTCTGCAAATGAATTCTTGAGGTTGGCAGAACTGGAGTTAGGGGGCATTTTACCTCCTGAACTGCTCTGTGCCTGTGATCCCAATGTAAGTGTAGTTTTGATTTGATGTCTGTCCTTAACTATGTTTCTTTCTTGATGTAACTGATTTTCCTTGATCCTGGAAAACTCCTCTTCAAAGTAGGAAAATAAATTAATGTAGACAGTTTGACTGAAAACACTTCATTTCTTCTTTTCATTCTTGACATCTGGCCTTCTTCAGCAAAACCTTCTGCATAGTTTGATTATGAAGTTCTATCCCCTACCTGATTACTGATCAATGAGAAAATTATCTTGACAGCACATATATCAGTGAATAAAACAGTAGGGAAACTATCTGAAACAGTACAGATCATATATATTTGGTTTAGGAATCAATTTGATGAATTTTTTGGCAATAGTTTTATTTTAATTCAGTGAAATTAATCACATTCCCTGAAAACACATCAACTTTCAAGTGAATAGAAGGCAGCCCAGAAGCACTTTGTGTGTCAATGAAAAACAATATGGCTTTTAAAACTCTGCTGTACCTTATTCACAGATGGAAAATCAAGAGGTTCCTGTATTTCATTGTGTTCATCTGAGCCCATCATATGTAGCATGCCCTGTGCTGAACCCTAAACAAAAGTTGAAACAGTCTCTCCATTGCTAAGATCTCTCATATACAACAATCTGTAGAAACATAAGGAGGTGACACAGACTACTATATCTATATCCAACATAGAAGAATGAAATAATTATTAATCAGTCACCCAGCTTTTAAAAACATCTACTATGTGTGCCTGATACATAGTAGATATTTTTAAGAGCTAGGTGATTAATTTTATTTTTCCATTTTGATTAAATATTATTTATTTGTAATATACAAAGCCAGAAATTGCCATGCCCTCCAGAAGCTTACAATCTGATTGAGGATACAGCATGGAAATATATAGCTATATAAATAGAAATTACATAAAAAACAGATACAAAATAACCTTGGAGGTAATTTAGGTAACCAGGAAATCCCACAGGCAAAAAAGTATAGATTGAGCTGAGTCTGGAAGGAATCTCAGAATTCCAAGCAACAGAATTGAGGAATGAGTATATCCCAGGTATGAGAGATGGCCTGTGCAAAGTCATGTAGACAGAAGATGAATTTGTCATGTATGAGAAACTGCCAGATGGCTAATATAGGTGAACCATAGAATGTACAGAGAGAAATGGTGTATCATAAGTTTAGAAAAGTAGAAAAGAACAATGTTGTGAAGAGGTTTAAATATAAAAATAGGGAAATTTATGTTTGAGCATAGAGGTGTTAGGGAACCAATGGCTTATTGTATGATGTAAGGTGAATAGAATAGTTAGACAGGTAATTTAGGAAAATCTCTTTCGTAGTTTTGGAAGAGTTGGTGTAGGTAGAGACTTTTGGCAGGAAGACCAATTAAAAGGCTGTTATAGTAGTGCAGAGAAGATATGATGAGGGGTTGAACAAAGGTGGCTACTGTATGAGTGAAAGAAGTGGATGGGGGGGAGGCGAGGGTTGGAGCCAAGATGGCAGAGTAAAAGCAGTAACTTGCTTAAGCTCTTCCCCAAACCCCTCCAAATACCCATAAAAAATGACTCTAAACAAATTTTAGAGTAGCAGAACTTACAAAAAGACAGAGTGAAACAAATTTCCAGTCCAAGACACCCTAGATGGTTGATAGGAAAGGTCTGTTGCACCGGGCTGGGAGAGGAGCACAGTTAAGCATGGGCTGCGCAGGCAAAGATGGGGCCCCAGCAAACCTGGAAAAGGCCTCAGGAGACTGAATCACAGGAAGCTATGGCGGTCTCCAGATTTCTCAACCCACAAATGCCAAAGACAACTTAAAAGGTCAATGGGAAAGGTCTGTCAGACCTGGGTGAGAGAGGACTGTGTTCCATTCTTGGCCCTAGCACAGCCCCGGAGCAGCAGTAGTGGCTGTGTGCAGAGCTCTTGGCCCACAGATGGTGGGGGGATTGAGCAGCTGATCAGAGAGGGATTGCAGGGATCTCTTTGCTGATGCTGAGGCAGGATTCTTTTGCTTTGCCAGTGCTTGGATCTGGGTTGCAGTCCTGGGTGGCGGTCCTGGGGCAAGGAGGAGCACTGGCATGGTGGAGTTTGTGGCGGTGGTAGAGGGGAAATCCTCCTTACTGTTCCAAGGCAAAAAAGAGTGCTTGTGGTCACCCATAGACCAGAGCACTGGCCAGGAAAGGAGTAAACACCTCTCCTTTGATCATACCACCTTGGAAGAACTGAAAATTTACAAGTCCCTAGAAGTATCTCTGAAAACAGCTGCACAAAACCCCTTAAGCTTGGGACAGTACACCCTCCATGCTGAAAGCACAGCCCTACCTTAACAAAGAATTTAAAAGTCAAGTAACTGGCTGGGAACATGAGCAAACAGTAGGAAAAAACTCAGACTATAGAATCTTACTTTGGTGACAAAGAAGATCAAAACATACAACCAGAGGAAGACAACAAAGTCAAAGCTCCTATGTCCAAAGCCTCCAAGAAAAATATTAATTGGTCTCAGGCCATGGAAGAGCTCAAAAAGGATTTTGAAAATCAAGTAAGAGAAATAGAGGGAAAATTGGGAAGAGAAATGAGAGTGATACAAGAAAATAATGAAAAGCAAATCAACGGTTTGCTGGAGACCCAAAAAAAACCTGAAGAAAATAGCACTTTAAAAAATAGATTAACCCAAATGGCAAAAGAGGTCCAAAAAAGCCAATGAGGAGAAGAGTACCTTAAAAAGCAAAAATGACCAAATGGAAAAGGAGGTCCAAAAGTTCATTGAAGAAAATAATTCCTTAAAAATTAGAATGGAGTAAATAAAAGCTAATGACTGTATGAGAAATCAAGAAATTATATAACAAACCGAAAAAATGAAAAAACAGAAGACAATGCGAAAGTTCTCATTGGAAAAACAACTGAACTAGAAGATAGATCCAGGAGAGATAATTTAAAAGTTATTGGACTAGGGGCAGGTAGATGGCACAGTGGATAGAGTACCGGCCCTGGAGTCAGGAGGAATGGAGTTCAAATACAGCCTCAGACACATACCACTCACTAGACATGTGACTCTGAGCAAGTCACTTAACCCCAATTGTCTCCTTTAAAAAAAAAAAAGTTTTTGGACAGCCTGAAAGCCATGATCAAAAAAAGAGCCTGGACATCATCTTTCAAGAAATTCTCAAGGAAAACTGCCCTGATAAGAATCTATCAATCACCTCCTGAAAGAGATCCCAAAAGGAAAACTCCTAGGAATATTATAGCCAATTTCCAGAGTTCCCAGGTCAAGGAGAAAATACTTCAATCAGCCAGAAAGAAACAATTCAAGTATTGTGGAAACACAATTAGGATAACATAAGATTTAGCAGTTTCTACATTAAAGGATCAGAGGACTTAGAATATGATATTGAGAGGTCAAAGGAGCTAGCATTAAAACCAAGAATCACTTACCCAGCAAAACTGAATATAATCCTTCAGAGGGAAAAATGGACATTCAATGAAATAGAGAATTGTCAAGTATTCTTGATGAAAAGACCAGAGTTGAATAAAAAATTTGACTTTTGGATACAAAACTCAAGAGAAGCATGAAAAGGTAAACAGGAAAGAGAATACATAAGAGACTTATTAAGGTTGAACTGTTTGCATTCCTACATGGAAAGATGATATTTATAACTCATGAGACCTTTCTCAGTATTAGGGTAGTTGGAGGGAACATATATATAGACAAAGGGCACAGGGTGACTTGAATATGAAGGGATGATATCTAAAAAATAAAGTTAAGGGATGAAAGAGGATTGTGCTGGGAGAAGGAGAAAGGGAGAGGTAGAATGGAGTAAATTATCTCACATAAAAGAGGTAAACAGCTTTTACAGTGGAGGGGAAGAATAGGGAGGTGAGAGGGAATGTGTGAATCTTACTCTCATCAGATTTGGCTTAAGGAGGGAATAACATATACATTCAATTGGGTATGGAAATCTATCTTATCCTACAGGAAAATAGAGGGGGAAAGCATAAAAGAGGGGAGGTTGATAGAAGAAAGGTCAGATTGGGGGAGGGGGTAATCAGAAACAAACACTTTTGAGAAGGGACAAGGTCAAAAGAGAGAATAGAATAAATGGGGAGCAGGATAGGATGGAGGGAAATTTAGTTAGTCTTTCACAACATGAGTATTTGCATGACTACACATGTATAACCTATATCAAATTGCTTGCCTTCTCAATGAGGGTGGGTGGGGAGGGAGGAAGGTAGAGAATTTTGAACTCAAAGTTTTAAAAACGAATGTTAAAAATTGTTTTTATCTGCAACTAGGAAATAAGATATACAAGCAAAGGGGGTATAGAAATCTGTCCTGCCCTACAGGAAAATAGAAGGGGAAAGGGATAAGAGAAGGGAGGGGGGTGATAGAAGGGAGGGCATATTGGGGGAAGGGGTATTCAGAATGCATACCATATTGGGGTGGGGTGGGGAGAAATGGGGAGAAAATTTGGAACTCAAAATCTTGTGGAAGTGAATGTTGAAAACTAAAAACAAATAAATTAATAAAAAAAAGAGGAAGAAGGGGACAAATATTATAGAAACAGAATCCTAATATTTGGAAATAAATATAGAGTGAGTGAGAATTAGAAGTTGAGAATGACATTGCAGTGGACTACAAATACAAATGGAAAGATGATGATGCCCTCAGTAGAA